GGAGCAGTTTTTTTTTTTTTTCTTCTTACCTGTCGTTTATCTCGCGACCTATCGCTAACGAATTTAAAAAAAAAGAAGAAAAAGAAGATCGTCGGAAGAGGAGGAGGAGGAGAGAAGAATAAGAAGACGAAGATGAGGGGGAGGACGACGATGAGAGATGAAGAAGAAGAAGAAGAAGAAGAAGAAGAAGATGGGCGGAAGAGGAGGAGGAGGAGACAAGAGAAAGAAGAAGAAGATGAGTGGGAGGCGGAGGAGGAGAGAAGAAGAAGAAGAAGAAGAAGATGTACTATGCAGGCGTTAGGGTATGGCGGCGCCATGGGGGTATGACGGTGGCGTATGGCGGCAGGGTACAGCGGAGGGAAGAGTAGTAGGAGAGAAGAAGAAGAAGAAAAAGACGAGGGGGAGGAGTAGGAGGAGAGGGGAAGATAAAGAAGAAGAAGATGATAGGGGGAGGAGCAGCAGTGAAGAACTCGAAGAAGAAGAAAAGCAGAACTATAAGAAGAAGGAGAAGAAGAAGAAGAAGAAGAAGAAGAAGAAGAAGAAGAAGAAGATGATGATGAGAGGGGGAGGAGGCGGAGGAGACAAGAGGCGGAAGAATGATTGGAGAAAGAAGAAGAAGAAGAAGATGACGAGCGGAGCAGGGTTTTTTTTTTCCCCTTACCTGTCGTTTATCTCGCGACCTATAGCCGGAAGAGGAGGAGGAGGAGAGAAGAATAAGAAGAAAAAGATGAGGGGGAGGACGACGACGAGAGATGAAGAAGAAGAAGAAGAATAAGATGAGAGGGGGAGGAGGAGGAGAAGTGAAGAAGTCGTGGAAGAAGAAAAGCAGAAGTAGAAGAAGAAGAAGAAGAAGAAGAAGAAGAAGAAGAAGAAGAAGAGAGGGGGAGGAGGAGGACGAGAGAAGAAGAAGCAGAAGAATGAGTGGAGGAGGAGGGAAGAAGAAGAAGAAGAAGAAGAAGAAGAAGAAGAAGAAGAAGAAGAAGAAGACCGGCACTCCACGATGACGGGCGGCAGGGGATGTCGGCAGGCAGGAGCACCACGATCGACGACGCTGGCGACGGGCGACGGGCGACACGACGACGACGGGCGAGTGGAGCTCCCAGGCGATGGGGACGAGGACAGCTACTTCGACGAGGGGCAGCAGCACGAACGCAGGCGTCTGGAGCAGCTATCGAGGCCCCGTTTGGACAGCCAATGCAGGCCGCCCCAGCCAGTTGCTAGTTCAAACGGGGCCTCCGTTTCCCTCCAAAAACGAACGACCCTCTGGCCGTCGATCATGGATGATCGACGGCCAGAGGGCCATCCCAAACTCAAAAAAAAAAAACAGGCCTCACAGGCCCGACGCGCCGTTTTCTCGGTCTGGTCGGACCCGGTAGGCCCTGGGGAGGCCAAAACCACCCGATGTGGGGTCGGAAACCCCCCGCCAACAAGGTGTGCTGGGGGTGCCCGGCCCCCAACCGGGCCGCCCGCCCGGCCAGGCCACCCGGGACATCCCCCGGGCGGGCGCCGGTCGGCTGGGCGGCCCGGATCCGTACTCAGGAATACCCCCTATACCCAATCCCAGTGCCCAACTTGCATCTGTACCCAGGAAATGGTATGTGCAAGTTAACAAGTTATTACTGACTTACTAGCATGCCCAGGACTGAGGTGGGCCAAGGTTGGTACCGCCAAATTGCAGTTATACCCAACTACCAGAATACTCAAATTATGCACATACCTGGGCAAATTGTGTGCACACCCAGATTTTGCTTGCCCAGCTCCCGGGCATAACCATAATTTTGTGCTCCCCAACCAAGGGCCTGTGTGACTGGGTACCTGGTCAAGTTGCCACACAAGAAAAGTAGCCTGTTTTTGCCAAGCCTGAATTTCACTGCGCTCTTGAGTCTTGCCAAGCCTGCATCCCACTCTAGTTTCTTTCTTGTACTCTGACGGAAATGAAATCAGACTGCACTCCGAACTTGCTCACAACATGCATACACACGAACCGATGGCGAAACCAAACTCTTAACTCGGAATCAACAATGAACTTGCACTTAAACTTTGTTCAAGACAACTGTACACTTGCGGCTATGGCCGCCGAACCATGGCTACGCCGGCCCGGACACCGGACCAGATCCGGACACCGGACGCCAGACCTCCCGGCCCTACCGGACTAACGGAATATTCCGAGATATATCCGGAACGTTCCGGATGTTCTGTCCAGATGTCCGTCCGGATGCCTGTATTTTCTGGGGGGCAGGGGATCGTTGGGGGAATGCTCTATCTCGTGGGTGTACCAGCGCTGAAAACGAAACACATGGGATCCGCCAACTGCAAAGGGCTGAATTGCCAACCGCCACACTGACTGGAAAGAAATTAAGAAAATGGAGCACATACGACCCCCCAAGTGGCAGGCAGAGAGAAACAGGGGACATAATGTCCCTGGATCTGTTGCAGGCGCCTCTCCTGATAGGGTGCAATTTGGACACAGTCACGCCCTTCTGACAAAACAAAACAAAAAACAAAAAAAACAAAAAAAAAACGAAAATATTTGGGTTACCTTTGGAGGGTGGAGGGAGGGCATATGCGACTCTCCACTACTCACCACATGAACAAAAGACAAAAAATATGGTGGCGTATCTTACTGTCTTCCCATGTTCTAGCAGAAGATTCATTCTCATTTTCCACATTTGGCGAGTAGTGGAGGAAGGCCCAAAGTCCCCATATCATTCCAGGTGCCCGTTCTGACGGGCGCAGTTTTCTCTCTGAAAATAGGATCTGCGTTTTTTCTTTTCCCTTTCAAACGTTCTTTGTTTTGGGCGGAATGTACTAAGTGCCCTATCCTGAGAAGATACGGGCACGTCTGAATGTGTACAGTAACGGCCTTCTACACAAAAACTAAAAAGAGGGTGCTTTCCTTTGGCGAGGGCGGGAAAAGAAACTCAGTGGATGAGGGAAAAGCGAACTTAGGGCCCCTCCTTT